CTCTCTCTTTTCCTCTCTCTTGCTCCCTCTCTCTGGCACTCCCTCTCTCTGTCACTCCCACCCCACCCTAATCCCCCCATAAGACCTCAAAAATAACACAAAACACAAAAACAATAAGAGAAAAAAATGCACAACTAAGAAAGAAAAACAATACAAACAAGACTAGAAAGGGAAAAAACCCAACCCAAAATTCACACTCGCACAAAAAATACACAATCTAGAAAAAAACCCAAAAAAAACAGCAACAACAAATACATGAACACTGACAAGACATCATATTTTTTTTCAAACACATACATATCTGAAACCACAAATCTTCATGAAAATGCTCACAATAAACATTCGAAAAAGACAACAACAACAATAAAAATGAGGGACATGAGATGAGCCTATTTAATGGGTATTATTCTATATTTTCTTCCTCGGGGATTCATTTGTTCCGCTTTCGGGCGTCAGGGAGATAGCTGTCTGTTTGGTTTAATCGTGGCGTAAATCTTTTCCAACTCATGAATCATGCTCTCCTGTGTTCCAGCCTTGTTTTACGCCGTTCTATGAAGGACGGGACATGATTGTGTTCCACGAAAATAATATTTGGTTGTCTCGAAATAAATCTGTTTTCCTAATTATGTATGAGTTTGTTTTTTGTTTTTTATTTGTTTTGTTTTCTTGTTTTATTTTGTTTTTCTAAGGAGAGTTGCGATTGTTGGAGACGATTTGGTTCGCCTTTCTCGTAAAAATGAATGACGTCATCTAGAAATTAGAGTATGTTGTTCTGAGATTTTGACACGGGGTTAGAATTTGTGGTAAACGATACTGTTAGGTCCTGTTTTGTCTGTCTGTCTGTCTGTCTGTCTGTCTGTCTGTCTGTCTGTCTGTCTGTCTGTCTGTCTGTCTGTCTCTCTCTCTCTATAATCCTCTCCAGACCCCCTCTCCCTCTCACCTCTCTTCCCATCTCTACCCTCCTCTCTCTCTCTCTCTCTCTCTTTCTTTCTTTCTTTCTCTCTCTCCCCCTCTCTCTCTCTCTCTCTCTCTCTCTCTCTCTCTCTATCGATCTATCTCTCTCTGCCTGTCTGTCTGTCTGTCTGTCTGTCTGTCTGTCTGTCTGATTCTGTGAGTAGGGTACGGTACCGTACGGCATGGTATTGTGTGAGGTATATACCACGTTCAGCACTGTTAGGGTAGTTAAGTCATTTTGAAGATCGACAAGTGTACTTATTTTTATCAATCTTAAATTGTTCCATTTTTGGAATTAATATTTTCTTTAATCCAATCAAAACTGACAGTAATCATACTAGGAGACACACACACTCCTGTACCACCATAATAATAATATTGTCTCCCCATGTGTAACTGATGCCCTCTGGTCTCTGTCTCCCTCAGCCGGCGAAAAGATCAAAGACATCAAACCAAAGCCCAAGAACTCGGCACAGATGGTGAGTAGTACTTTAAGATATTCCTCTCTTTCTCTGGTTCTCTCTCTCTCTTTCTCTCTCTCCGTCTCTCTCTCTTTCTCTCTCTCTCTCTTTCTTTCTCTTTCTTTCTCTCTCTCTCTTTCTCTCTTTCTCTCTCTCTGTCGCAAATAAGCATTCTGTG